AAATATATATATTTAATTATATATTCTCGATGTGTGTAAAATACACATATGTACAAGCGGTTTTTAAAAAGAAATCGTTGCTTTAAAAACGATGATAATAAGGCAGCTACAATATACTCGGCCTCTATATAGCCCTGCTCTCAAGCTACCACATATCTATAATCCTAATTTATTTATTGGCACATAATAAAATTTTTTATCAAAAAGACTGAACTGATATTAATCGAAAGTGATTCAGGGCCCCCCGGAGGATACGTCTATGGGTTAACCCAACCTTCACGACATCATGGCGTCCGATTATAATGCAGTATAATCCAAAGCGCGTGGATAATCGAGCCGTTCGCTGATCGAGTTCGTCTCGCGCGGAATCGCGAGTGCAAGAGTGTGTATACCGTTCGCGTTCGGTATCGAACTCCTGGTGAACTGAATCCCGCTAGAGTGTCTTACAAGCCCGCTAAAGCGATAACCTAATTTATACATATCCATATATAATCGCTCCGTTGCATCGCGATTTGCAACGTTACGGTAGAGCATCGTCGTAGCCATCTTTTTTTCGCGGATATATAACGCCGTCGTTGGCAACGAACTTTTGCGACTGACCAAGTTTTTCAACTGACCGGGCGATTATATATATAATTTGTTACATATATATATATATATACACACAGTCATAGCAATAGTCATTATATATCGCTTCCGCGGCTTGTGTATTCGTGAAATGAGCCGTGACAGCGATCGAGAGGCGACCTCGTGAAGTCGCTATAGGGATCGCCGTGGCAAGTTCGACTCAATCGATACTAGGTCCAGGTATGCGCCGGGACGGCCCGAGACGCATAAATGCGCCCGGAATCAGAACGCGGAGCAGCTGAACTTTCAAGGCCGGTAAGAATTGAGTCAAGCCACTGAAACCGAACCGCTCCTCGTTTCCTCCTAATTTACATAATACATATTCATATATTTATTTATTTATTTATTTTCGCCTTAATATATTTTTTGTGACATATTTTGACTTTATTTTAATAATTTAATTATTTTGACATTTTATTGCGAAATATTTAATATTAACAAGAATGAAGGCATCTTTCTTGCCAATTAGACTAAGAAAGAGATCGTATCTAGAATTTATTTTATCGTTGTAATGCGATTCTATTCTTCACGTAAGATTGATTCGCGATCGAATTATCGCGCGAGAATTTACACATCTATTTTCGAAGCTTATAGATTTCATATAGCTGTCAAATATGCAGACACGTGTCGCGCCGACGCCCGTATAAAAATTCGCACGCGTTATCTCGCGAACGGCATTGGTACCGTCCAGGGAAGGGGGAAATTATATAGATCCTTGTTTACTTTGATCCATATTTATACCCAGCTATAATAACGCTAAATGCGAGTTCCGTTGAATTTGCGGGTTTTATTTCTCTCCCGCGTTTAAAAGAACCAAAACGCAGCACACGTCTCGCGAGAACGCGAGGATAGAATGCAATTTTCCTTCGCGAACGTTTTATGTTACATCGACGAGGATCACGCGTTGTTATGTTACGTGATATTCTCGGGGTTCGTCATTTACATTCTCCGACTATGCGGCGTTTTATTAACAAGTAGATAGAACGCAATAGACGTGAAATAAAGTCGCGCGATCACTTCTGCGAATTCGATGTAAAAATACTCGTCCAGGAATGCATTGACATCGTGAAATTACCGAGGATGCTTGCATCTATGTGTTTTTATATCGATGACTTGAATAATAGACAAAGTTCGATGTCCCTGAGAAATTTAACATAAGATTTTATAAAAAATGTATCGTACGACGGTATATCTCTTTCTCGTAAAATATCAAATTAATTTAGCACGAATTTATCTGGATTTTTTAATCAATTGTCACGATGCACGGAGATACCCAGATACGACACACGTGCGATTCGAGCACGCTCCGTATATGCGTAACTTCACGGTGTTGACATTTCTGGCGCACGTCTCGAAGCATTATTCTCGTCAGCTGTTCCGTCTTTGAGCCGTTAGAAGGAGGTAAGAAAGAAAAATATCGCCGTTTATCTACGAAAAAGTATTAATTATTGACGAGGAATCGTTTTCGGCGTTGAAAAATATCTCGTTTATTCGCTCCCTCCGCGAGGCAGGGCGTGTTTTCCCGCTAAATTTTGGTGGGATTCGGAGAGGGGAGGAGGGGCTGCAAACAGCCGTAGCGCAATGCAGTGTCTTGTAATGCGCTCGTGCGACTCTGGTCAGGTCTGTTTCTTCTTGATTTGGCAAGATATAATTCCGCGAATAAGCGAAATATGTCACACACATACACACACACACACACACATAACCACGCAACCGCATCTTTTATTATGACGATTGAGAATTAAAAATTATATACTACATATGTATAGGAAGACAGAGATCCTGAGCAAGATGTCATTGGTATTTTACATCCGAAATATATAATTATCAGTAATTGTTGATGTAAACTTTTTATACATATTTCTACGTAATTTGTATAAATTCTGACGTACATAGATATATGTATGTAAAATGCTCTGCTGTCTCATATTCGAAAATGACGCGATGCCGGATGGATCGTGCAATTTTAATCGATCGCTCTCACTCGACGAACTTGTTGTCGTCGTCGACGATGGAGACGGCGATAGCAGGCCGTCGTTAAAACGCGAACGTGTAAAACGACCTTGCGGCTTGGGAAACAAAATACGCGAGACGCGAGAAATGACTGTCGCGCGTACGCGGAGCGGCCTTTCGTGACAGAGAGCCGTGCATTTTCGTTGCCCTCGTGACTGAGAGAGCCTACCGGACGACGGACGCAACGGAGGTGAACTTGCGATGTTCGCCGTCCCTTCCTGGGAGGCTGCTTTGAGGTACATCATCAGTAGGTTCCTTTTTACGGAGAGCTGGGAGGAGCGGAGCGAGAGAGGGGGGGGGATATCTAGCGTGATAACTTCTATATAGAATTTTGATACGAGGAAAGAGATGAATGAATACGTTTATCGATTCTTTCTAAAAGAAACTCATCTACATCTTCGTCCATCTTTTTAATATAAAATCGAAGCAAATAATAATATTTGAATAAAAAATCAAGTTTTTAGGTAATATAAAAATTTTAGAAACGTCATAAAATTCTATTTCCGATATTAAGCCAAAAAATAATTGTCGAATTACAATCCATCTTTCTTAGATATCTTTTCAGAAAATATATATTATTCTTTTATTTACTTCGTTCAATTAATAGTTAATAAAGTTGACCGAATTTGTTAATTTGACACGAGATGAAAATGATTTCACGCGAAGATCGGCTGAATTCGCGACAATATCACGCGTTTATGTGCAACGAAATAGCGTGCTTATTTCTGACAATCGTCTATTTTTCGATATGTATGACAAGGATGCGGAGACTGTATTCTTGGCTGGTATTTATGAAACTCTCCGAGAAGACACGTGCGAGTGATTAATTGGCGTTTTATATCCCCGTCTTACGTCCGTGCAACCCGTTTCCGTGTTACAAGATCTTTAATTTCGTATGCGACGATCGATCTTTTTTGCCCGAGAACTTGCACTAGAGAGAACACGTGCGCGATAGTACGGGAAAAAGCAATCGCGTGTTTTGCAACACTCATCAAAAGTGGGACATATTTTGTCGCGTTCACGTAACGTCTTCGTAAAGAGCAACGCGCGTGGAAAACTATCCGTTCCGAAAACGCTTTAAGGTCGATCGTATTCGTAAATTGTATTCCGGAATAATAAACGCCTTGGCATACACGATTCGCTACAAAATTCTCTATCCGATTATATCCCTTCATCGAAACGCGGAGAGAGAGAGAGAGAGAGAGCGATCTCGATATTATTATCTGAATAAAACAATTTCGAAAGTGTTTCGACGTGCTTCTTGATAATCTAAAAAGCGAAAGATAAATATATACATTTACGCGCGAAAACGATTAGAAGGTAACCTAAAAATAGATCATACAGAGATGGATAAAGATCGCGAAAATTCCAGGGTAACGATAGCGACAGCTCTTTACACGTGCCCTCTTCCCGACATCGTTCTCGCTTATCGCAAGACTCGATGCGTCTAGTAAAATAAAAAAAGAAAGAGAGAGAGAGAGAGAGGAAAAGTTGGCGCCTCGTCGCAATCGTGGCGTAAACACGCGCGCGACTTTAGGCGGGACCGGCGCACACACGCCGCTATACGTCACGCGGCGCAGCAGGAGGAACGTCGGCAGAACCATCCTCGTCGTCGTCGTCGTCGTCGTCGTCGTCATCGTGTCGATGCCGGAATAGTGGGGCAGCGTGCCGCGAGAGGGTGTCGCGCGAGGCAGGTCAGGGCTGGGGCTCAGTCAGTACACTCGCGTGCGGCGTGTCGGTTGTGCCGCTCTTTCCTCTCCTTCTCGTGTATACACATACACACACACACATACATAGGACACGCGCGCGCATTCCGTCGCGTCGTTCCCTGCGCGCGTCGGCACCGCATTCGCATCGCATCGCGTCGCGTCAACCGTCGCGGGTATATCCGTACCCTCGGTCGCAGGCGGGTTCGTTCTCTCCGCGCTCCGCCGAGAACGCCGTACCGGCATTCTGCCGTCTGCGCGCGGGTCGAGTCTTCCGTTGGGTGTGCGCGTCCCTGTCAGATCGCGCGGAATAACCTTATTCGCGCCGCAGTCCGGCGGAGCGCGGCGCAACGAGCGCGGTTATCGTGGGTGTTGGACTTGGACGAGGCGCGCGCGATGCTGACAGTACGCGCGCTTACATAATTATCCGTCCTCGTCGGTGTGCATCAGAGCGGCGCGTGACGTGACGAGACGAGACGCGACGCGTGGAGGAGGAGAGCGAGCGCCATTCGTACGCCCGCGTCGCTCCGCTCCGCGACTCTGCTAGTTCTTCTTCTCCGTGGCTCTCCGGGTATGTACACACATGCGAGAAGGCGTGAACATGTGCGCGCGCACATACACGTACGTACACACGCGCACACACACAACGTAGCCTTCCCCTCTTCTCGTCGCTCTCTGCGTTCCGCTTCCTCTATCTCTCTCGCTCTTCCTCGCTTCCCCCTCCCACCTTGTCGCTCCTTCCGTTTCTCGCTCCTTCCGTTTCTCTCCCTCTCACGTTCCCTAGCAGCTTGGTCGATTCACGAATCCGCCGGGCCACTCTTCCCCGGGCATCTTCAAAATAAGGCCAAAAGGTTACGTTCCTCGGGAACTTTGAAAATTCCATTTCTCTCCCTCTTCTCCCCTCTCCCTTCTCTCTTCCCGCCCTAGCTCTCGTCGCGTTCCAGTTCTCATTCCGTCTTTATTGTTGTCTCTCGTCGCTTTTGTTGACGACGAAAGGAGAACGACGTCGCGCGCGGCGTCGTTTAAATGCGACAACGATAATGATTACGATCGAACGTCGGCGTTTCGTAAACACGGGCGAATACGCGGAAAATTTTCTTTTCCCTCCCTTCTCCCGTTCTCTGTTCGCGCGTTTCGTGGCTCGACTTGAATGAACGAGTAACTCTGTCCCCTCGCGTCGACGTTGTCGGCGCTCAATGAAATTCGATATCGCACGGTATCATTGCACGACCGTACTGTTTTATATATATATATATATATATATATATATTTGTGATTTCTCGAAACGTTTTGATTGTATCGGCTGTTTATTTGTATTCGAGTCTCTTCGGTGAAATTCAAAAAATTAAATCTCTTAGAAGATACTGAGAATTATATTAACGAGTATATGCGAAAGACGTTGAGGTTTAGATTAGTAGGACAAAGTACTATACAATTTCCAACACATTTCATACACTTATAGCGTTTTATTTTCAACCGCGTCAAGAATTTTGCAAACAATTTTTTACTTATCACGCCCACTTTGTATCTTTGATTTTTGCCCGCTATATGATTCTGTTTTATCCTTACTTGCCTTTGTTTGTTTGTTTCTCACACACAGGTCTGGCATCAATACATATATATTGCACATTTATTTTCTATTTATTTTGTGACTGCTTAGAGAGAAAGAGAGAGAGAGAGAGAGAAAGATGAGAGCGTTCGAAAGCGCAGGCTGGCCTACGAGCGGGGAAGACGTAGTAATGGATTTGTTTATATTTTTTGTATTTGCCGATGATCCCGTCGACGGTTGTTTCACTGGACGGTACCAGTTGGAGTATACAACAGCAACCGCAAGCCCAATTGTTGGTGATCGCGCAACAGCAGCAGCAGCAACAGCAACGTCAACTGCAGCGAAATCAGATCGTCTCGTCGAATCAGGCATCGTCGTCGGGAGGTGACCTGCAACAGCCACAGTGCCACAAAATGACCGATCAACGAGAGCAGCAGCAGCAGCAGCAGCCGCAATCTCAAGCTCAGCAACAACAGCAGCAGCAGCAGCAGCACCACCAAACCAAAAGCCATGAAGAACCGCGAACGAATCTGATCATCAATTACCTTCCGCAAAACATGAACGAGAAGGAGCTGTACAGTCTGTTTGTGACGATCGGTCCGGTCGAGTCCTGTCGAGTCATGAAGGATTACAAGGTAGATTGTATTCGAGTATAGTTAGTTCTGTATCATAGAAGTTATGCGATACATGAGATGTATTATATGTATAGTACTAATTTTAACATTTATATAGACTGGTTACAGTTACGGCTTTGGTTTTGTGAATTATGCAAAAGCTGAGGATGCCGCGACGGCGATAAGCACATTAAACGGGCTTCAAGTGCAAAATAAACGTTTGAAAGTGTCTTTCGCTCGTCCTTCTGGAGAAGAAATTAAGGAAACTAATCTTTACGTTACGAATTTACCAAGGTAAACTACGATTCATTTTCTACGAAATTAATTAATAATGAGAAAAATTTATTGTACTAAAAGACATCGCGTTTCACGTTGCAGAAATATAACGGAAAGTCAGATCGACGAAATTTTCAGCAAATTCGGCAATATTGTGCAGAAAAATATATTGAAGGATAAACTCACCGGTTTACCGAGAGGGGTAGCGTTTGTGAGGTGAGTAGATATGATTAGTTTCTATCATTAATCTTGATTTTTCCATCTTTTAAATATTAATAAAGATTTATATTTACACAGCAGTTTGTATTCATAAATATCTATAAATATTTATACATATGGTAAAGAGAAAAAAAGTAGCTTCATTAATCTAATAAATTTTTATGAGACTTTACATATAAGTATACATTTATCAAGTACGCGTATAAATAATGTGCGGTATCGAAAATTGGAACAATTTCAAAACAGCTGTTCGCGGCAATCATATTATATCGTTACACAACGCGGTGCATGAATCCGTGCGCGCATATTTATTTCACGAAAGTTTCCTGCCAAAGTATTTTTGTACATCTCCTGGTTTCAATTGCATAATTCTAATACGCTCCCTTTAGTTTGGCCTAGATAAAACGTACGAATAAACTAGGGATACTCTAGAATTGTACGAAATATATTATTCGCGCGAAATAGAGCTGTTGTAGTTTATGCCAACAGTTGTGAATCTTGCTTGGATGCCTCTCATTTCGATTTTATCGAGCTGAAAAAACGCTAGTAAATTAATTAAAAATAAATAATGGAGGGATTAAAGTTTCTCTAATATTTTTAAGCTCTTAAGAAATTTTTACGTATTATTATACATATTTCAATGTTAAATTATTATTTTTCATAAATAATAAAAAATTAATACATTTCTATAACTCTTTTAAAATCATTTGCCGTTTCCTAATTTGCAGATTCGATAAAAGGGAGGAAGCTCAGGAGGCTATTGCACAACTTCACGGTACAATACCGGAGGGTGGATCGGAGCCACTTAGCGTAAAAATCGCGGAGGAACACGGGAAACAAAAGGCGGCGTATTACGCGGGCTGGCAAGCCGGATACAATCAAAGCCGCGGTAAGTAGTTTTATATATACATTGCGCGAGACCAGCTACTCATTAATAGACTTTATCTCGCTACCTGGCAGTGGTAAATGATAAATTAAACGCATTGTTCTTTCGTTGAAATTCAAAACTTTTAGGTAATGGAAAAGAGTGGAATTAGCGCTGCCAGGCCGAGTTTGCATTTTTTGGCTTCTAAGTGAATTCTATGCTAAAATATATAGTTGAAATGGTTTGCATCTCTTTTACCGTAATACTGTAATACTGTAATACGATTGCTGTAATACGTCTAGTTTACATAGGAAAGCACTAATTTCACACTCGATGTTTATTTTCATGTTTTGATCGAAAGATTATTATACTTTATTCTATTTGCCTGTGTGATGTGTCTTTGGATCGAATGCGATTTTGTTGATCTGCGTATTCGATCTACCTGGTATCTCGATATTTCTCAGAGATTTGGTAGAGTAGATTTTTCTTTTTATACGGCGCAAAATGCTTCTTTTGTCGCGACAAAGTCATTACTATTGTATTTCCGCGTTCTGCATCACGCAACATTTTTTCCCTATGTTTCGATAAAAATCTTTAATTTTATCGTATATGGGTAGTATAAATTGCTATTCATAGATATAAATCGTATTTTTTTTTTTTTCTTTTGTCATGCTATTTGTCTAACATTGAAATGTTTTGTCAGATAAGATGGCTGCATCTAAATCAGACCACAACGACTTAACGCACTAAGCACCTTTTGTGTACACAGAGAACCGAAAGGGTGTTTATATTCTGACACGTGTTACACACACACGACCACGTTCAAACGCGGAGAAAAATCTCCGCGAAACGACTGGAGACACGGTTCCTCGCTCGTGTCTCTTTACTCCTCTATCTTCGCGCGCGTGTCCTTTTTTCTTTCCACTTTCTCAAAGTCGTGCGCATGACTCGATGTGAAAAGAGAGACACCGCTTGGCTCTCGAGCGATTCTCGTAAAAAAAAAAGGAAACTGAAAGGAAAAGAACAAAAGGAATGCAGTGTTGTGATACAAGAGTCTTGTGTGTGATCTGGTGACGAGATACGTGAGGTACGCGTTATGTACGCCGCGTTTTGTGCGGTATATAAACACCTCACCCGGGAGAGACACAGCTCGTTGCCGCACCAAAGAAAAGAAAATGCCGTTCATAGAAAGTTTCAGTTTGAATGCTGGTTAGCTGGACCGATTAACTTAACGATTTCGCCTACCTTCTGTTTTTTCCTAGCTCTGCTGCTATTGTTCGTATTTTCGCTTGATACTTTGTTGTTAAGAGTACTCTACTACTGTTGCCCATGTACGATGTTATTGAGCACACAGTAGCTTCGCGTTCGCCGATATTAATATCATGTTCCATATATGGCTGATGCTCTTTGTGCTTTAGCGTGACTAAGGCGTTGTTTAAGTTTTTTGTACGACATTTTGTTATATATATATATATATACATATATATATATATATATATATATATTATTTCCTATGTCCAAAATATATACTTTGTTTTCACAAATTTCGATTGTACGTTCTGTCTTTCATACGTAACTCTCTTTCTCTCTCTTTCTGTTTTTATTCCAATCCTATTTAATTTTTAAGCAAATCCAGAGCGAGTTAGGCAGTTTTATAAATTATGCGCGTTTTTCGATTATTATGTTACGGTTGTTTAAAGAAAATATTTCTTTCCTAAGAAACGAATGTGTGTGTATGTTAAGTTGAATGTAAGATTTTAGGTTTTTAAGTTGCAAATTAATTTTGCGCCGTTAGTTTTTTATTTGGAAATTAATTGTCAAATTGAGATAAAGATACAAAGATATATCTCGCGCAATTGTCTCTAGCGACTTGGTTGTGATTTTATTGCGTCTATGCTTTAGTAAGGAATCCAAGTGCATGATACTGTACCCTTATCGAACCGTTTTAATGACGCGGCCACGCGCAAAGATGGAACTTGTGTGAGAGAGACCTAATCAATGACGTTTTCATTTCTATGCTTGCCTTGTGAAGGAGAGCGTCTATACCCGGCGAGGAATAAATATCAGCGCTATGCTCATTATCTTTATTAAATAGCGAACGATGTTATCGTTGTTGTGTCGCCGTGTCGTTGAACGTTCCGTACTATATATATATATATACACGCACACGATCCTTCCTACAGTTGTAATTAAACGAGGATCCACGCGAGCAACAGTTCGTGGAACCTGGAGAGATTACGATCGTGTATGTCGCAATGTGTTCCACCCGATGTAACTTGATGTAATCGCGCGAGGAACGTTCGCCGCTCGGCGATTCATGAGACAGGAGCAATCTTAGCAAATTGTTCGCCGAATCGTTGATTACTTGTATAAATTGTATCGATTCTCGACATTAATTGTAGCGCCTCTCTTGTAATTAGGACAAAAGATAATTTTCAAATTAAATTTAGATTTTTGGTATCGAGGAACATCGCGTGTATTTCAACGGAGGTGTGATATGTAATTTTGTGTACCGTATAAAATCCATGAGGGCGATTTTAATGCGGCGGGTTATTTCCTCAATGTTGTTTCTAAAAATTTTATTCATTCTATATGAGAGCGAAACAGATATTATACTTATTTTAAAAGCACTAGTTTAGCTTGTAAAATTCGACAGAAATTATTTTATAAATGTTGGACAAATATATTATCTTTTGATGTTTGTATTCGTAAGGCGAGAAGTTTGAAAAAGGAGATGCGCTAATATAAAACTGCGTTGAATATAAAAAGAATAGTAAAAGTCTTCGATATAACTTGGACAGTAATTATATCGGAAGTTATCATAATACCAAGTACCGCAATATATATGATTTTTGCTCAACAATCGTAAATTAATCGCAATTATTCGCAGCGGGCCTAAGAGTTTTACAATTGTATATAAAGTCTGTGTTTCGTAAGTTTTAAATCCTTGCGATTTTTGTTATTCCAAACACGGTATAGAATCGTTGCCGTATATCATATAATGAACGTGTAATATTTAATAGATTTTGACGACACACGTTTTCTTCGAGATTCTTTTTTGGATTAGATACAGCGATTCTTCGTACAACGTTACACGTGACATAGGAAAATACGATCAATCCGATGAGATTGGTCTCAACGATCTAGTGAATAAAAAAAATCGGAGCAGATTTCGTCTCTCTGTGTGCTACGTAGATAGATATTAATTCTCAACATAACAAATAAAATGAGACTTTACGCGCGCCAGATCTTGTTAGCAGTTATATATAGCCGCTGCAGTCTATAAAAAATCTACAGATCAAATGAATATTTATTAGATATCCTTTCTCGTAGTAGGGATCACGATATTTTTAGAGTTATTCCGTAGTTCGAAGAAAATATCATATACACAATGCTTCCGCAAGTTGAAGATGCGTCCGATTATATGTTCTCGGTGGCAATCTTGAATACACAAATTGAAACAATACATTAATGTATATTTAAGACAGTATGACAATCGATTTAGCTATGCATCTCAAATTTTTGAAGCAGCTTATATTAAAAAAAAAAAGGAAAATCTAAAAAGATTTTTATCTAGAAAAGTTGATTTGGTCGTATAAAGTGCGCTGTAAAAAGATATTTAATTGATGCTGAAGAATTACAAATAGCTAAATCGATTTTTTTTTAATTCGTAAGTGAATGCGCTCACTATCCGCATTTCGATATCGTGTAGCAATCGCCGGATATAAAAGCATAGAATATCGATAGAATATCTTCCATTTGTTTTATCTGCGACACGTTACGCCACCGAGTGCATTGAACAATACCAGTACAGTTAGTTAATAATACACGTGTTGAAAGATAGACGAGATATTTGCTCGTTTTTCGTAGAGAATAGAACCCTGTCGTCTCGCGTAATTCTATCGCGACAGCGAGTAACGATTCGCACTGTTACACAACCTTCATCTCTCTTTGGAATCCCGAACGAAGTTTTAAACCGACCGATCCGGTGGCAAGAGAGTCACTAAAGTGGTGGCTACTGAGAACTAGGAAATAATACGTATGTCTTTCGACCTTGACAATCGTCCATCCTTCCATGAATTTATCGCACTACCTTGCCAATTGCTTGCGAAGGAAGAAAATGGAACGCGATCACATTCTGGGCGTAATAATTTGACGCATGCGAGAGTTTTATCGCACTAAAATTCTATAATTCGAAATTTCTCTTCCAATAGTGTGATCTTTTTTTATCGCGTAGCCTTATAAAATAAAATCTTTATAATAATTAAAACACGTGATATTAATATATATAGTTTTTCATTGTTATATATATTTATAAATTATTAAATTGTTATTGGGCGTGTGTGTATGCCATATGTTAAGGAATCTCTATTGTTATTTGACTAGCGGATAATAGCAAATATAGAAAACGCTGTCTAATAGAATTATGATATTGATTCAATCTTGTCATTGATGCGACTTAAGACTAAATCATGCTGGATGCTTCGTATTATAACTTTTATCGTACTAGTAAAATATTTGTACCTTGTGTTTGATCGCGCTCTATTTTCTTCCGTCTTGTCGTAGATCGCGCTTACGAGAGGGAGGGTGCGTTTTCACCCTTAACTGGTATTCTCTCATCTTTTTATAATGCAACACATTTTGTATGCATACAATATATTTATTGTGAAAAGTTAATCATATAATAATTGCGGAATTTTAATTACGAAATAACTACAGAATTCTTCAAGGACTCTTCAAAAGAGACTGCTAACCCGTAAAAATGTCTATTTCTCTCTCATACGTATTAAAGTTGCGGTGACGTCACCCCAGTTAAGGGATGAAATCCTAAAACGCGTAACGCGATCGAGGACGCGATCCACCTTGCTCAACGTAAGATATTTAGGCGCTTCTTCGTAAGGGTAAACTTTGCGAAGTCGAAACTTCTAGGAATTTAATATTGCGAATGCGCCGGGCGTTTGACCCGCTTTGGCTGCTGACCGATCGATTGTCGGGGAGTTGCGAGCCGATGGACTACATTTTTAAACGCCGATGCGTTTGCAGATACGTTTACATAGTAAAGTATCAAGTATCGCATGAGGCTAGAAATTAATCTGAAAAATATGTATAGAATCGTAAATTTTTTCTTGTAGCAAATTTTTTAATTTTTTTTGCGGTTTTATATAATTTTTTTTTATTCTTGAGGAAACTTTGGTAATAATTTAATAAATATATATTGATTTAATAATACTATGTGATATTCTATATAGAGGTAAAATTGATATTAAAAGCTATCATTAAAAAATAAGTTGGTTTGCATTAGAAATATCCGATATTTAATTTATAGAGAGAATCTTCAATTTTTATTATTAATAATTTGCGGGATTTGAATACTATTTTAATAATCTTCCGACAATCGATCGATTAACGAATCGATACATAATATGCTGCATAGTACGATCGTTATAGATATATAATAAGTAAGTTAGATAAATTAATATAAGATATCTTTCGATCACCGCCATGAGAAGAACTTTCATCGCGTTTTCATTTCTCTAATCGTAAACAATTTATAAGATTAAACATCTAAGTTAAAATTAAGTTAAAAATCTTACAGATATTTTAATCACGAAAATGTATTGCGGTAATAATTGATGTAAAGAAAAATAATTTTTTTTTGATAAAAAATATGAATCATGAATGATAATATAATATATTTATAATTTACAATCAAATCAAAGATCATAACATATTATATAACAATATTATATGATATGAGAGATTCATGATTTTTCCTTCGCATAAGTTTGCGATTAGATAAAATGTGACGTGAATGCGACTTGACATTGTAATCGAAAGATGCGATTGTAAATAGTTTTAAACTGTTAAGTAGTAAATTGTAAGGTTTAACGGATCGAAGAATGTGCGAAATGGTTAATCCCGAAGTCCAGTAGTGCTAACGATGGCTGTGATAAGAATAAGAAAATACTAACGAGAATGCAAAGAGAAAAACAAAACATACTAGCGAAACAAGTGAATTAACGAAGCTTAGCTTCCTCTCTTTTGATTTAATTTTTAAATGCGAGATTTAAATTAATTTTACATACATTAAAATTTCAGTGACACATACATGCAACATGTCAGCCATATCCAATATACCCCGAAATGATTACATCGATAAGCTAACAGCGAACTATAGTATAATAAGATAGCATAACTTCTTCGTAAGCTTTCGTTTTTCAATAAGTATACGATGTTAATTTAATAAACAATACACAGGGTTTTTAAAATTATCGCATTTCTCTTGATTACGAGACGAATATGAAACATATTTCACGAGAACTTTCCAATTTTTAATACATTAAACATTTTCGTAATTTATCGTAAATTAAGTTTCTCAAACATCTTAAAAAAATTTTTTAATTATTAAAACAAAATATATAATTTTATACATTTTAATTATAATTATTACAATATAATTATTACAATTTAAATATAATTATACAATTTAAATACTTCAACTCAAGCTTTCATTTCTTTAGTATTAAATAACCACGGTTAATTTTTTAATTAGTATTTAATTAATGATTTGTGTTAATTTTAGATACTGGAAGTTATCTCTAATCGAAAGAAACAGCGATAGTTTGCTCGAAACAACTCATTCTCTTGAGAAGAGAAATTCGCCTCTTCGGCCTCGGTTGAGAACGCTCGCGACATTCTCGATGATATATCCACCGTATTTTTCTCTTGTTCACTATGAAATTTAAAAAATATATAAATATTTGTATTAAAAGAGAGTTAATTAAAAAAAAAAAAAAAAAAAAAAAAAAAAAAAAAAATATCTGAATTAGCGAGAATTAATCGTCTTTAAGCGAATCTAGTATCACATTAAGGATAATGTTTACAATGCGACAAACACATATACACATATACACTGACACAGATTACGTACGTAGCGATAGAGAGATACACACAAAACTATGACACATTATAGCAGTTACAGATCAATGTTCGTATCTCGTTGTACGGATATTTGTATTTAAACGTGTTGAGCATTAAATGTGAATTATTGTATCGATCGACGCTTTTTGTGCTGATGATATGATTGATGAATGATCCCTCGCGCGCGACGTGAAATTGAATTTAGACACGATTATACAGACACAGGATAAATTCAATTTTCGAAACACAAGAGAAAACCGCGTATCGGACACAATGGCTCTCTCTTTTTTCTCTCTCTCTCTCTCTCTCTCTCTCTCTCTCTCTGTGATACTTTTATACACATTCGTTTTCCACGGGAATTATGCCATTAAAATTAAGTGTTGAAAATCAGGTTGCACAAGCGTCGCGTTCTATGAATATTTTTTTTCTTTTGTACCATTTTTATACTCTTGACAATCGGGCAAGCTAAAACAATGGAGCTTTCTTCGTATAAAAAAAAAAAAGGAAAGAAATCATCAGGACAAAAAGTACACTCCCGAGGATCACGACGTTTCAAGAAAAAAAGGAAGAAACGTATCGTTAACGATCCTCTGGAGATTTTTCTTAATCAGCATCTTACATCTTTCCTATTCTCGTTACCGCAGTCGCGAGTTTCCTCGCTGCGGTCGCTCGTTAAATTTGATTAAAATATTAGAAACAGATATACCACGTCTAAGTCATTCGCACGACCCTCTTTTTCTACTGAATGACGCTTCTCCTTCGTTTTTTTTTTTTTCTCTAACATTTGCCGGAAAATCGGAACATGAAAATGTAAATGCTAGAGAGAAATGGATATATTTTAAGTGATATTTACCTAAAAAAAAAAAAAGAAAAAGGTATTAAAGAAAAGAATATTAAAAAGATTGTTCCCAAATCTTGTCCATCTATCTCTATCATCGAAAATCTAGAGATGTAATTAAATGGTAAATTTTTACGTCACTTATAATTAGACGTGACAGCTGAGCAATTATTAAATTCTAGAGAAAAAGAACTCGTGTGCATGGAGCGGAGTGTCTCTGTTATTCCGTTTGAGAAATTCCGTAGGGCTGTATCCTGATCTGCGTTAGAGAAAAGTAAAAAAATAAAGGAGCAGCGTCACACCAAGACCCACCTTCCGAGAAGCAGTTTCAACCGTCCGCTTTCATCTCAGGCGTCCTCAATTTTCCAGGAACGAGCGGAGTCGGGGTCGGCGGGGGACGTGCCCGCAGCATCGGAGGCCCGCCAGGGATGGGTGTCAGCGGCGGTGGCGGTAGCGGTCCAGGGATGCTGGGCCGGGCGGGCGGATTCGGGCCGCGCAGCGGACCCCACGGCGGCTTCCTCGGCGGGGGTGGCAGTGGTGGCGGCGGCCCGGGTGTTATGCGAATGGAGAAGATACACCCGCATCGGTTCAATCCGATTGGCATGGGTGGTGGCGGCGGCGGCGGTGGCGGCTACGTGCAGTCGCACTTCTGGTGACCGTCGCGACATCGGGACGATGACGGCGACGACGACGAGGACGACGAGGACATCCGTGGCGGCATCACGACGCCGATCACTGGCTGAAGTCGTCCTTCTCGTTCGAAATAAATCCACGGGAATTACCGTTTATAACGAAAACTGTTGAGAACTGGGGAAAGAGGAGGTAGGTCGAGTAAAACCGGGTTGGGCCAGTTAAATCAAGTACCTATTTATCTACGTGATGGCGCACGAGAAGGTAATTCGATGTTAATATCAATGTTAATAACAGTTTTTTCATCAATACTCAAAGAGTCAAATATTTTACGCTCTACATTTGAGCAATTATATTATTGTATCATTTATTTTAGCATGTTGGATATTGCATAATATTTCCTGTTTCAAGGATTGATAATAAATTTAGTTTTTACATTATTATTAATATAACAATAAAATTGTTATTAGCAATACACTAAGATCGAGCTACTTCTTTGCGAGACATTCTATATTTTCGTGATAATTGGAAAATGATTGAATGATGATAGTTTTATTAAATTTCGGACAGGGTACTATACGCTTTTGATTTATTCGTTTTTAAAACGTTAAACTTATCGCAGTGACAAGCAAGAACTCGAATTAAAGATTTTTCCCGGTTTTATTCTATTTCTACCTCGTGCAATCGTGTAGCTTGAGAGAAAGAGGAATCTATATTGTGTTTAGCGTATCTAGCGCTAACAATAAGAATAATTAAAGTTTTTCCAATTACGACAATATCGATGATTTAAATTTCAATGTGAATCTATTCCGAAACGTACAGTTGACATTGCTCGCTAATTATATGAAACATGATAAATTCTCCAAGTTAATATTTGATTTTGTAATATTAAAATCATTATAGAATATTAATATTGTAATATTAAATCATTATATTCTAAGTTCGTAATAATATAAATTATTCTAATTTACATTATACGCGTTACTCTCTCTTTCTCTCTCTCTCTCTCTCTCTCTCTAGTTTCACGATCGTTCGAATGTTGATTTATGTAAAAGTAGGTCGTTCCAATTTGTCAGGATGTTCGGCTTATATATTACTATATAATAAGATAAGCGTTTTAAACATCAATTCTCCGGTAAGCTTACGATCCTGAAGGATCCTAACGAGTTCCGGCAAATCGCGTTGTGCAGAAAAACTATAAGAATTTTACGTATTGTTGTAAATTTCATTTTTTTTTAATGGTTCTAACTTGAAACTTTACGAGACGTTTCATCATAAGAATGTTTTATCATAAATCAGGGGGATTTCTGGAGGACAATTTCCCGTTCGACGCGGCTGTGGATATCAGTGGCATTCTGCGGCGAACGAAAATTTGTACATTTGTGAGATACGTTTTTCTTTCTTTTTTTTTATAAGATAGACGCACCTCTCGATTACATAAAGTCCTTTCAGGAAAATCCAATACCTGTAAGTGAATTATTATATGCCTAATGTGACATATATATATATATATACATATATACACATACATATATTATATATATATGTATGTATGTATATATATGTATATATATATATGTATATATAGACTTGCTATATAAAAAGGATGGAAGGTAAATGCCAAACTTGAAGTTTCGAAACGTACTCCATTTGACTAAATAAAAAATATATTTATAATATTATAGTGTGAATAAAAAAAATATGACAACTTAAAATTTTTATTATAAAAATGTTATTTTTATTTGAAAATTATAATATAAATTTTGACAATCAAATTCCCAGATCTCCATTTTAATATTAATTATATATTTTAATGTTAATATTAGTCTATTTTAGGTATTGGATCTTCTAAAGATAGACATACATCGCGACCTATGATCGAATTCCCAATCGCTTCAGTTTGTCACTAGACGAAGAATACGCGATTCGAACGTGCCGTAGTTAATTTAGATTAAGCGAATTTTAAGCACGTGTCGCGCGCGGAAGAACAGGGTGAATGTAATTTATTTTAATATTTGAGAGCAGTATTAGAGCGAGATCGCGTATTCTTTCGCAATTCTGTAGACGAACTTTCGACACACGTCGCATGGTGTATTTTATTTCATTCAATCCTCCAGTGACGTTTTACGTGATTCGTAAATATAGTTGCTGAAGAGAGGAGAAGGAGAGAGTGAGAAAAAATATTTTAAAATATTTATGTAAAGCCGTAAAAATAATTTGGAATAAACATCATTAGCAACTATATATTAGCTTTTGTTAATTGATCGTATATTTATATCTCTCAATTTCTATTAATTATTTCTAATTAATTTTGATATTTATATAGTAAAACATATGTTCTCGGATTTGATATGAAAATTTTGTACGTGCATGTACTTAAGATCTGATTGATGAGCGTAGAAAATTAATACAAGTGTATCTCGAGGAGCGTTTGATTTTTTTTTAACAATTGATCACCATCGCCGTCATTCTCGTCAGTGATGTACATAGACGTGTAGGAAGACTCGACACTAACGCGACCTTATAGACAATGAGACTGATTTTTTATAGAGGACAAATTTTAAGCAAGTACATACGTTGTATACGTTGGAGTCGCGTGTCGTATTTTTAGCTAAAAAAAGAAAAAGAATAATAAGCTGTGCTTGTGTTCCGAACCTGTGGACAAATTTTAAGCAAGTACATACGTTGTATACGTTGGAGTCGCGTATCGTATTTTTAGCTAAAAAAAGAAAAAGAATAATAAGCTGTGCTTGTGTTACGAACCTGTGACAGGTTTCAAGAACAGCCCGAATTGTCTATAAAAATCTGTGATTTGTACAAAGGAGAATAAATGAGAGAGATATCGATAATCAGTTATTGTGTAGAAAAGACAAAAAAGTCATATTTTACGCTACATCTAAGTGCAACAAGTGGGAATACGAATCTGAAGCAATAAAGAACAAAGATAAAGCTAATTGCTCTACTGATAAATTCTTTAATTAACGTTAATTTGTGTATAAGAATATGCAGAATATTAACCTGGCTATCATCCATTCTCATAAACAGATCGTACAATCAAATTACATGTTGCTTTTATCTTATTGTTAGATATTATCTAGTAACGTTCTTAAAGTTACCTGAATATAATTATTATATATCTGTGTGTTATAATATTATATTAATATCATTGTCATTGTCACACATCAAAGTTAATCAGTGTATAGTTATACACATCGATCTGCAAGCAAAGTAACATAATTTATATTTATCACATTAGTATAATTATCATTTTTATGAGAGAAATGTGTATGTGTATGCAAATTGTTGAGACTTATGTAATTACTAAGCGTTCATTACATTATAACGGGAGAATGAAATAAGACGATATACTCGATTTAGAATCACGACTAAAAGATTCATAATAAATAAAATCGTGCACAAGTGACACGATAATTGACACGTTGCAAAATTGGAGCAACATACACATTGCCACAATTTATAAAATCGTGCATAGAAAAATCATAATACTAATATCGAACTCTGATTTTGACGAAAAAAACATTAATTAACACTCCTACGTTATTATGTCGCACCAAAATATGGTTGTATCAAACAATTTAATAAAAAATACTGTCCGCTATGGGAAGAGAATTTTTTACAGCGAATATTTTACGAAACTTACCGTAGAAATATTATATTTATATTTGAAGGTAGAGAATACTCTGATAGTCAGAATGTAGGTTCGTGAATCTAAAGAGACGATTACAAAAGTGTCGAAATAGAAAGAATGCTGGAATATATTTTATTAATTTATGACCGAGAGAGAATGCGCATTGTATACAAAAATACAAATTTTCCTGTTTTTTATATAATCTTAATTTAACAAAAAAGTAAGAGACATGTTTTATTTTAATCGATATAAAAAGAAAAGAAAATGTTTAAAAATGTTTTTACGGGTAATTAGTTTTTAATAAAATATAGACGTTTCGTCATAATTTTCCATGGATGAATACAACCGATCACGGTGTTGCCCTTCAAAAGGCAGCTCGCATTTAAAAAAGCAAAGTGCCCGATGAAGAGCCGCAACGTAATCGTTCGATAATATCTTCGTCTCTCTTTCGTAATGCGAGAGAATATCAAAGATCTTCTCCGTACAGCCATCATCTGTTTGCAGCATTAATTTTGACAACCAATATGCTCAAAAAATAGCGCAAATGAAATTATTGACAGATCTCAGCTGTAGCAATGTAACAAAAACATTTAAAGTCAGATTAAGTCTCTCTCTTGAACCGCGCGCGTCCTGTCAATTTTGATTTGGACTTATTTCTGATAATTTGCGTCTTTAGAGATTGAAGAAAATTATTTTTCTAAGAATATTAAGAACTCGACAAAGATTGAACATCTAATTTTAAAGAGAATGAAAATTATACGATAAGTCGGTGCTACAAGTATAAGTAGAATTACAAATTATCACTTATTTGCGGACACAATAGGCCATTACCATCCGATGTCAGTAATCTAAAGAAAAAGAAAGCCAGATTAGTGAAAACAAAGTAGTTGAGGCAATAGAGCGTTTGTAAAGCACAGCCGAAAGTGTGTGTATTGCTTGCGCGCGACGACAATTTGATTCAGGTACATGGAATGACTCGTCAAGACTTCTGATTGCTAGACAGCGGCTGTAGTCGTCATCCCAATAAAACATCTTCACTGCTGACATACTGCTTCACACTATAAAAACATTATTATGGATATTTATATGTTATGCAAAAATAATAATTGAGACATTATTTGTAAAAGAATGTAAAAGTTACTTTTACAAGTTAGTATTACAAATCGCAGGGGATCACATGATAACGTTATATTTTATAATCCATAAATATAATTTTTATAATTTTTGCAAACGGCACACTATCGTATATTTTAAGCAGTCACAAGAAAATTAGGTTTTACGCGGTGTGTTTTACGTTTCAAGAATAATTTATACATTCTTTGTGGATTTAGCTTTTCTCTTAAGAGATTGTCGTAAAAATCTTTTAATAATGATAAAAATAATTACTTTCTTGAGCGTTCATCTACCTTTTATCGCAAATATTCCATCCTTCAAGCAGAACACTTTATGATCCATTGTTAGATTATGCGAAGCGCGCTTCAATTAATATTATTTAAGTTATCACAATTTTCCGGATCAGCGAGAGGACACTTTCGGAAAAATGTCGCGAGCAACGGAAGGCGTGGACTGACGAGTTCCAAGTTCGAACGGAGAACTTTATAACAAACACGATGCACATTCCACCCACAGGATGTGGTGGTCTAGAGATTAGCCAAGCTCGCGTGAAAAGGAAACAGGAAGGGGCGGATAGACCGAGATACCATCTTCATAAATTTATCCTGAAGAACAACTATATATGTTCTTTCCCTCAGATATATAATTTTTTTTGAACAATTTCAATAAAAATTATTTTTTTTTCTAAATAATTAGGTAATATATCGATAGGAAGAATATTTTTAAAGGTATTTTTAAATGGCATTTGTTCGTAGAAAAAATTTACATTTTGAAAGCCCGTTAAGCATGAAATCAACATTGAATAAACATTGAAGGATTATTTCTGGAAAATAAAGGGAAGAGGTCTCTCTCTCTCTCTCTCTCTTTCTTTCTCTTTCTCTCACCCCGATGAGGTTTCAACATTATTCAAACGGTCGAAAGGGATTCATCTGATTCGTTATCCATCCTTTGACCTAATACCGATGTTTTTTTTGTGTCCTTTCTCAACCGCCGTCCCCATTGAACCAACCAAAATTCTCCCCAGGAAATGCAGCGAGACGTTCCGTACGAATCGCGCGCATCTGTTCCACGTGTGTTTCATATCTCATTAAGCGCAATTAAGGCTCGTCGACAGTCGTATAGTTTGGAGACAAAGTTATTCACTCGCATTAGAATTCATAAAGATATGTGCTTTGCCTATAATTTTATAGTAAACTTTACAATAATTATTTTCAAATAAAATTGTAATATATATTTGTGACTATATTAATTGTATTCAAGCTTCTTTTATAAATTAAACATTACGATTTCATTGAGAGATTACTTGATCCGTTTTGTATAGAATTATTAATTCATTCTTTACATCGGGAATGTGTAATGTAAAATAAAATATTAAACTTGTTAGATAATTTAAATATGTCATCTAAATTTTATATCAATACTATTTCTTTGCTAGAATTATTAATTTTATCGCAAGAAACATAGAATAAACCACTCCTTCCGGCCGCAAATCTCTTCCCAAGTTTACTGATAGAAATTCTTAACGCATACTGTCGTCCGTTATTCCAGCTGTTTCAGGATTATAAAAAATAGAAAAAAAAGTTGGAAAATAAACGCTTTGAAAGTAAACTGAAACTCGTGAGAATAATCAATTCTGTGCTATTTATTTCGGAGCAAGAAATATCGCGTATTAAGTTTCGAAATTTTGATTAAACAAAAATAGTTGATTAATCAAATAAACTTTATTCGCGGAAATTAAGTGGGCTTTAATCCCTCAGAATCATTTTTTAATTTCAGATAGGAAATAAACATAATATATATGAAAATTTTCGATAAATAAAATTCGCTTTCAAGAAAATTCCGGACTTGCGGCAAACAAAATCAACTGTTGCTTCGATTAAAATTAATATTGTGTTTCTAGAACGCCCTGTATGTAAAGTCGGAGCTCTTTGTAGCGTCGAATTTGCCATTATAATTTCTGATTAGTACGATAGGGGTCAGTCGTTCGGAGTTTATTTTTCTTGTGGCCGAATCAACGCGCGACTCCCAATGATACGCCGCGGCTTTTTTTTTTTCTTTTTAGGTCACGCTTTTTAATGGTCGTTTACGCAACCGCGCACCGCCCGCTAAAATGCGCTCTCCCGATTCAATTTATTCACACGCGGCGATCATGGGCGACTTTCGACCCGAATCTTGTTACACTGAAAGAGACGTAATATAACGCATATATATCGTAAATGGAAATCTACACGATAGATCTCTTTCCCGCGTGTTTTGTGCGAAGAAGACATTACATTTACAGCCGCGTTTTACACATAATACATATGCCATTTAAAATCTGCGTTTAATTTAAAACAGAGGAAAGAGAAAAAAAATAAATATAATATAAATATTTACACGTGAAGGAATCAAATTCAAAGTTGCATTATGTAACGATAAATGCACCATTGTAATATACGATTAAAATATGTATTATATATTATATATTGACATATTTCTCATTTAAAATTGAAAGGGAGCGAAGAGAAAATATAAAGATATTATTTCGCACGAGAGAAAAAAAGGAATTAAATTTAGTTAAATTTCTTGAAAAATTTTGACGGTTGCAGATATAAATATACTGAAAATATATGCAGATATAAATATTTACAATGTTGCAACTCACGATCAAAGTACACGATAAGTACATTTCGTCGATTAAAAATTACTTCAAAGGAAAAGAGATATTACAGAAAAATAGAAAATGATTCACAAATAGGAAGCAAGAAAACTTGATGCAGCGAACGGAGAAGAAAATTAAAACGGCAATCGTGATCCACCTAGGCATTTTCCAATCGTCGAAGCAGACGCGTACCACTCGCGACACCCGGTATATGACACGCGCGTTCTCCCGCGGAAGGAAGATACTCGTTTCCGCTCGACGCGATACTCGCGGGTAACGTCGATTGCGCGCGATCTCTTTTTCCAAATAACGATAACGAGAACAGCGACCAGAATTTTCCAACGCGCGCAAACCGATGACGACAACCGCCGTACGCGACATCCTGAGGGCAACTGGACGAGCAGATTTGCGGAGTGCGCGAGCGGGGAGGATACCGCCACCGCCGGGTGGGCATGAGAAAAAAGGAGAGAGAGAAAATGGGCGCACACACGTGGTGCCCATGGGCGCAGCCGGGAATTTTATAGGGCCTCCAGCAAGGGGATCCGGCACGAATTTTCTTTTAACTCTGTGCATTATACCGACCTCAAAAATCGCAAGAAAAATGTCACATATGTCATGGATGTGTGAAAGGACCGAAATTAACAATACATTTATTTGAGCAGATAGCGCGTTATAAAGAAAAGAAAGTATTTTTTTTTTTAATTAAATATTTAATATAAGAAATTAATATAAATTACACACAAAAATATTTATATATTATATTTTACATTATTATATATAAATTATTTATAAGATTTATGTATATATAAAGCGGAAATTGCGCCGCGGAGATAAAATTTTCGTAAAGGTGAGAGGTCTCGTCTGTATAGAAGGAATCGAAGCAGGGTCAAAGAGCACTGTCCTACGACACGAGGGACATGATGGAATTTGCATTTCCTGTCTACGATGAATAATTCCGGGCGAGACCAGGCCGTGCCGGTCGCGCACGCTTTCGAATTAGGCCCCCGCGTGTACTCGAAATCGAGTCCGAATTGTCGGTTCCTATGTATAAATCTGGAATCTTCAAATATAATTCTTTCTCCTGTTACGTATTTATAATTTCTTGATATCTCGTATAGTATTTAAATCCAATTTATTGTTCGGCGAATTCAATTTTTGTAGGAACGATGCCTGAGTTGATTCGCGACAATAAGGATATGACGATTAGCATATCAACCTCTTCGCGAAAAATTATATGTATAAAATTTAATAAAAAATTAGCGTTTGGAAAAAATTCGCGTCTTTACATATCTATATTTGAAAAAAATCTGAAAAGATTTAAACATTCTCCATTGAATTTTGTAAACTGGATATTACAAACGACGCGCTGTAAAGTTCTTGCGAGAAAAACCTACGTTTAGACGACGAAGGGCCCGACACACGAAGGGTGGCTGGCTTCCCGGGGTGAAGAAATAAAAAAGACAAGAACGCGGGAAGGGATGCGGGGATATTTATGGGAACAGCTGTTCGTCGACGATGCGCACCTACACAGGGAGGAGTCCTCACAGCGGACCCTTTCACGGGCCTCTCAGGTACGTGCAACACGTGTCGCGCCCGCAGTTGCACTTGGGGAACCGTTCCCGATGACTCATACGGGGTACAATACGCGATACGCTTCGCACACGAAGGAACGAAGCAACGGGACCACTGTGGCCCCTCCGGGGCCATTGAAGTTATATACACAGTGACGCATTTCTGACGCGCTTCTGATCGTCTTAAAAATTTTCTACAGAAAAATATTCGACAGAAATTTATTTCGTTTATTTGCTATTTAAATTCGGATTATTAAGCAATCATATTAATCACATCTCTCATTAAATACAACGAATAAAAAAGAAATATTTTTACATCCTTCTCAAAATTCATTTATATCAAAAGACAAAATTTTTACAAAATTTCTATAGTAAAATATATATATTTATATTAATAAATATATTTTTGTATATTTTCTATTCGAAGATATTATTTGCATATTACTATATTAAATAATAGCATGGGTAACAATATTTTTTTTTTAAATATGAATCTCTAAGAAAGAAATATTTTATTAAAACAGGTAAATATCTTAAATTAGACGAGAAAGGTTTTATAATGAAAATAGGGGAATACATTATACACAATTCATAAAAAGATATTTTCTTATTAGTATGAACAACATATATTAAGCCCATCCAAATTTTCGCAAACAAAATGTTTTCATCTTTACATTGCTTTGTTGAATAAGACGCAGTTGTTTTATTATCTTTATACATGTATATTATATGTATACACATTTTTATTACGGTTGCAGAAAACAATAAGTATTTTAATGATTATTTAATATATATTATTTTAATGATTATTTAATATGTATTTATATAATAAGTATTTGTTCATAATGTTGAACATATAATATACATAACGATGTTCTTCTATTTTTGCAATGCATCAATTTCTTACACTTATATGGTATCCGTGTTAGTTCTAAACGGTTATTTGCGTATGATTGGGATGAATTTTATATGAATCGGATGAGAAGGACGAATTATGATATCGATCTGCAACCGGATATCCTTTAAATAATCTACAGGCTCCAAGTAAAAATTGTACACCAAAGGAGCTACCATAGCTTTCAACTCCAGCAAACCAAATCTTTGACCTACAATTCCAAATCTTATCAAAAACTATCGACACGAGGAGAAAAGAAAATCGCGAGCAATTCACCTATGCAATTCCTTGGTCCTGCGCTGAAGGGTAGATAGGAATATGGATGACGATTCTGTATCCTCTCGGGCAAAAATCTATCCGGATCAAATACTTCTGGATTTGACCAAAAATTGGGATCTCTGTGAACTCCGTAGATATTAAGATGTAAGGTTGTTCCAGCAGGTATAACATATGAGCCTAAAAAGCGTATTATAAAATTACAAAATATAAAAATTTATGAAATTAAGAGTTCCTTTAAAAAATAACATGAACATAATATTATATTCTTAAAATGTTAAAGCAATTAAACTTGTTTTACATTCGATAATATACACTCCTTAAAATGTGACATGTTCAAAGATATATAAAAGAAGTGATTAATTACGTAATTTTACATCCTCTCCAACGTTTCGTAATATTAAAAATACGCTGGGATATAAACGTAGCGCTTCCTTTAAACATCTCTCTAAATATGGTAAATTTTGCAACGATCTCATGGTAAGTTTTCCTCCGCTTTCTTGCATTACGTTATGGACTTCAACCCTCACACGTTCCTGTGTCATAGATTATAGAGAAAAATAATTAAATTAAATTTCTTAACATTCTGTTTTTTTATACACAAACACAAAAAAAATTTTAATGAATTTAAAAATACATTACAACAAAAGTTTGGAATCTGTATTATTTTGAATAAAAATCGCAATTTAAATAATATATTGCAACACACTGAGAAAAAGGTACCTGGATATCTTTGTGTTCAGCTAATAGTAATAAAACAAAGGTAATACTCATCGCTGTAGTATCGTGACCCTGTAATCATTATTATATGCATATCGTCATACCAATAAACGCGCTTAGATGATGTGAAAAAAAATTCAAAAAAAAAAAAGATTACAGATACATACCTCAAACATAAAGGTATCGACTTCTTCTCTGATATCAAAATCAGTCAAATAATTGTCTTGAGATGCCGCTATTAAGAGATCCAACAAGGCTAGCCGCTTTTTTTTAACTAGAAATAAAAAAACACATTAGCGTCAATCTCGTTTTTGCATGTCGCGCTTTAATTATATAACATTGTTCTTATTAAAAATATAGATTTTCTATTAGAAATAATAATGATTTAATTTTACGGCAGACGTATATTGCATTATTACATGTAATTATGTGTTTAATATAAATATTACAAGCATAATTTAAAATATTAAATAACGTAATCGAACTAAAATAGAAGTTGTAATCTCTTACGTACTTTCAAATACTTCGACATCATCTATCTCCGCCTCTTTGTCATTTTCAAAGTTTTTCAAATATCGATAATTGGTACGTTTGTGATAAAGTTTTCTTTCCGCGATGACCTACACAGAAGCACGATATTAAATTTTAAAGATTTTTATATTAAATAACAATAGCACATCGTACTATATCATAAATATTAATAGCATAATATGTTATTAATATTTATGATTTATCACGTAATCTTGCAATACGAAGGTTACGAGATTTATTATAATTTTATATATATAAAAGAGAGAGTTTGGGGAGGATTTAAAATATATCATGATTTATAACTTACTTTTTCCGTAAATCCATGCAATATTTTCAAAATCTTTTTTTGCTTTCTTCCTTGTGGCGATAATGAGAATAAAAAATCGTTGTAGTACCAAGGTCTGAGCATTCTAAACCGTAATTCAATAAAATCATCCAATTTCAATTATATATTTTTGTAAAAGCCTGATTTAGAGCCATCATAAAATCTTGGAAATCTTTAAGTAATCTCATATATTGTAAAGAATATAAGCAAAAAAATGTTAAACTATGTACATTGCGAAAAGATATTTGGAATCTTCTAAAAACACATTATACTTTTGTTTTAACTACAGATTTTTTGATCAAAAATAATTTCTCTTCAAATTTTATTGCACAATCGTTAATACTTCAACATTTTTAAGATTGCGAACAATTTTTATTTTGAAATGAAACATTTAGAGCACGTACAATAGATTTTGATTTCTATTTTAAACGAATCGAGGTCTTACACTAATTGTTTACTTTCAAATGATTACTCAATGATTAATATTTTTTCAAAATGTATAGCAATATCACAATCATAACTTAAAGGATCATAGATATATTACACAATTATTTTTACTATATAATAAATTACCTGTAAACCACTAATTCGATTATATCGTGAATTGCATTTCGATACTGTTGCTGGAATTCGCCGAATTTTTGCGGAGAGACGCCCATGGCAGTTTCTACAAGTGTATTTATTATATAAGACCGGACAATCGAAAATTATTACAATTGAATATTTCGTAAGTTGCTTTGAGTATAAAAAATCGGATATTATATATCTTTCTTGCAGCATCGGTACTTTATATAGGAATAAATTATCTTCTTATCTTAAGCTATGATATCATTTAGAATGAAAACTCAGGACAATAAGAATTGTACAGAAACTTTACCGCATATGGCGTTTAGCGTATGTTCACCAATAAATGGTACTAAATCTTTTACAACTGTCCCTCCGACATCTTTCAAAGATTTTGTCATACAATCGCCCTCCTTGATCAAGATATTAACAAATTGATTCAATATATTGAAATGGAATGCAGGTGTTAAAATCTTTCGTCGCGCATGCCATTTAGCGCCTAAAACAACAACAAAATAACGTAAAATTGTATGATAGAATAGACAAATAATATTATATAAAGTTACTATTCTTCTCTTAATTTAATGTTTATTGACCAATCCTTAAATATAATATTATTATCTTAAATTTATTGTTTTATATCGCAAAATTTATTTATAATTTTTTAAACCTTTTCATGAAATTTTTGCGGTAAAAGGAGTTGCAAGTATCAAACCAAATCTAAAACAAACTGTAATAAGAAAGTAGTACGCTTATATTAATGCCATTATGTTACCTGTGCTCGTGAGAAGTCCTGTACCGAACCATGGATGTAACGTGTTATATTGAAGACCTTTCTCGATGTGCTTGGTATTGTTTAGTATCGTCTGAAATCATCGAAAATACGTTAAGAAAGGAACATCAGTTTATTATATCACTCAATCTTAGATACACAAATAATTTACTAATTGTATCTGTGTCTATGTAATTTTGATCGAGTATCGATATTTTCTCTATTCATCTTTTTAAGGAACCTTTTTTACGAGCAATAATCTTCTTGTGAAACGCAAGATTTTTGAATATAACTAAATTGCAATGTCTACGGAAAATTGAATTTTTTTTATTACCTCCAAATCATCAGGATGACGGATAGACACAACATACATGAAGAAACTCCATAATTTATAAATAGGATAATATGTATCACATAGGCTATGAAGCAGTATCCATAGTTTCTCTGAAAAATATATTATTAATATCGATACAAAAATTAATTTTATCTTTATTTGATTGCATCTGTACTCATATACGTTGAAAATAGACAATTAATAATTATGATAATGATTTGCAAATTGATATTATCGAGAGAAGAGCTAGGATATGTAATCTGCATTTTTGATAGATATACGTTTTAAAGCACAAGGTTTTATGAATTTAATTTTTGCTTGTATGTATGCATGAATGATGGGTCGTCTGTCAATTAATGTAAATAGATTAGAAATTTTATACTTGCCTGCTGAAGCGAATATTAAAAATGCGTTGCCAGCAATCGGATGGCCCAGTGGTCCCGGTAAAAGATTAAGAAGTCGCCCATTTCTTCCATAATGTACGTAATAATGATATACCAATAAAATAAACATGGATAATAACAATATAGTGATAAACATTGTTTCTTGATGTTCTTGACCGTTTAATTAAGCTTCTTCTTCAGCTTACTGTTTTATTGATCCTTAGCTTATACACATATCACAGAATAAATGATATTTATTTCATTACTTAAATATATACACTGTCGAACAATTAAGTTTCGAGGGTTGTATTACAAAATTTTGTTTAAAAATCGATGTAATGGAAGGAACACTTGACAATGCGCCAACATTAAATTCTGCGGCACAGTTTCCGTGAAGATGGGCGAGAACGTTCCGTACAACCTTTTGTCCCGATTAATTTGATGCCAATCGAACTTTCGAGATTTTATCACTTCGAATTACATACGTGCACTTTTTACAATGGGAATTTAAATAATCTCCTCATGCGTTACGCAGTGATCGATATCGATTACCTTTATCGACTCGCGCGTGTCCCGCGTTGCGCGATAAGCATAATTAGGACGTCGCGTGCGTGGTAATATCCTGCGATCTCGCGAGGATCGACGTGCCGCTTATCTATCGAATGACGTGAGTTTCTTCCTGCGCGCACTACTAATGCAGGCTCTGTATTAGTAGTCGTATCGTATCTGTGTAATACGCAGATATCCGTAGCATACGCGGATATTCGCATTGATACGGGTGCCCGCATCAATACGGGTACCCGCGTCAATACGGGTACCCGCGTCGTACGGATATCCGAATTATGAGGGTACCCGCGGAACCGGTCCAGATCCGTATACAACGAGTAACGGGCGAACAGGCGGGTACCCGGATTAATTTTATCCAGTTCTTTTTCCGAGCTCTAGTAATAATAGAAGATTCAAAGTATATCTTTTTTTGTCAGTTTAATTTCTGATGCAATCCCAACGAGGGATTCAGAATATTGAAGAGGTTACTTGAAATTGGGCAGGTAAATGAAAAATAATCCATTTACTGCCCATCTAAAGTAAAAAATTGGAATTTATATATAAATTAAATCGCTAGCTTTTTATAAGTCAAATAAATTATGTTATTTATTTAATTATCAACTCTATGAGCAATTCTATATGAACAAATTCTATATACAGTATGTTCTATATATAACTACAATGTAACAAGTGCTATATTACATGACATGTGAATATTTTTGTCATGTTTGTAAAAAATATGAGTAAAATATGAACTCAGAATGCATATGTTTTGCTATCTGGGTACAAAACTGACAATTGCCTTGATATCCTAAATATGTTAATCGTAAATAGACAAAGAGAGAAAGAGAAAGAGAAAGAGAGAGAGAGAGAGAGAGAGAGAGAGAGAGAAGGAGAACATTGAAAAGCGTTAAATGTATATTTTTTATAGTTAATAACTTTAAAGGGCTATAAAAAATATGGTGAATTTGTTTATTGTAATGAAAGAAAAACATTGCGTAATAAATTTGAGAATCAAATAAATTTTTTTAATTGGCCATTGTTTATAATTGTATAAGATAAAATTTTGTAAGATTCTATTGCTAATTTTGTAAGATTTCATCTAAATCTAAACAAAGATTAATAATATCATAATTATGACGAGTATTATTCTTATATCAATTATCTCAAACATTTAACATACAAGTTATTTTTAGCATTGTTATAATTTTATTTAGTATAACTATAAAAATTCTGTGCAAATTTGTAAATATCATAAATCTATAAATATACTTTTATTGTTATGCAATGATACAAAGTTGCTTTGTAATAATCCGGAGATATTTAATAAAGCATTCGCAAACTCTGTCATAAAGAATTATTTTTAAAATTGTTATCTAATTCTTAACAAAATTATTACTCCATTATATTATGTTTTTATGTAATATACAAATTATATAATTATTGCGATTGCTTAAAAGCGTTTATCTTTTTGTTTTTGTTTATTTAATTGTTAAAAATTTCCATAAAAATAATTTAATATACGTCTAATGAGATTATAACAATCAAACCAAAAGCTAACAATTTGTGGTATTTCAGAAAACTCATGTAAAAATCACGCGCTTACACTAATTATGATATTATAAATCATATTATTCAGATTTTGCAATAAAATGTTATAAAATTTTATTCTATACAAATATTACCGATTACCTAATAAAATAATTGATGCAACGATCAGTCGAAACACTACTCAAATGTTTGAGATGGAATTGCAAATATTTTCGAACAGATACATGTGCCACTAAAACAAATTTTTGTGAACTAATAATAAAAATCTGAGGCGCTTATATTTATAACCGTTTCTCATTTAAGAACAATAATATCATATCTCAATAGGCACACGGTTGATTAACCCGTGACATGCATGAGAGTTCAATATAATATAAAGAACGAACATAATAAAATCTCATTTGTACAGCTTTTATCTAATCAATAGGCTTCATTTATCGCCAATGCTGTATGCTTATTTCGGCCAGAATAAAGTTCAATGATTAGTATCGATGTATTTACATATCATTAATCTAATGTGTTTGTGTCATTAAAAAAAATTGATATTGAAAGCAATAAGATAATGAGACAAGTACACATGTCAAGTCTATGCCAAAAAAATTGTTGTGCTATGAATGCTGCTAAAGTGTATATTTTATTGTTTAAATCTGTTTTTTTTCTACAAAAATAATGTTGTCATTTTTGAAAATTACGTTTATTAGAAATAAAGAGAAAGAGAGAGATACAAGCACCATAAAATTTTGTTCTTTTGACTTAACATGTTTTTGAAATATGAAAAATTTAATGTAAGAAAGATATAAAGATCTGAAACTAATAAAATATAAGAGAAAAAGATATTACACAAAAGTAATAAAAGGATTAATTAGAAGTAAAATATATTTAACGTGAAATATACATACAATGACGTACTATTAGATCATTTTATCGTATAATACATTTTGAATATATTAAAACATGCTAATAAAAGAATAAATTTGTATAATATGTATAACTTTTTTATTTTCAGTCGGCGAAATTTTTTGATATATTCATTCGAGCTATCGATTAAATCTATTACGAACCCGATTCTGGCGTTATTAAAATTCGATAATCTAAAATTTTCTAAACTAGATGGGCTGTATATAGATTCTACATATTCATTCTACTTCATTATTTGCCGCTGGAGACTGACATGTCTCTTGATTTTAATTAAATTTTATACTTATCTATCTACATGTAAAATTATCGAGATGATAAATATTTCGAATGATAAATATTCATCGAATGATAAATATCTCATATTTTATCTATTCAGAACTCTCAAGAAATTACCAAGTTTATATATATATGCATTATTGTAGTAATTAATATAAAAAAGCTCTTTTTCAACAATTTGTAATATTTATTTTATTTTTCACGAATTTCAATTTTTTTTTTTTTAAATATTTTTTCATTTCGGTTTTTTCTTTTTTTAAATTATTGACATCTTTTTTTTTAATTGTTAATTATCGTTTTTTTCGTATAATCTTCCCGGTTCTCTATCTTTGAAATATCACGAACGACCGTTTGCAATCGGTCGAGGAATGATGGCGAGGAGACGCGAAAAACACACTTGTTTGTGTGACGGTACAAAAAATCACGTAACATCTGGAGCTTCGGGGGAGAAGACGATTCGTCGTAAAAACTATTTGTACATATGCCATACGTGGGAGCGATAACTCCACGATTCTCTCTTTGTTAACCCTTAAAATGCGTTTCTCGTTTCGCTATAATTTCCCACGAGTTATTTTCTTCTCGGCGATCGCAACAGTATGCGTATAATTATTCCGAGATATCTCGCATACGCGTTATTAACATATCGCAAGACGTGTTTATTAAAGATAATTGAAGCGGACGAGCGTAATTTATAACAGTGTCACGAATAAATTGTCTTAATGATAATAAAAGAGACACATAAATAGATAATTAAAAGTGATTAGAATATAAGTGGTTTATTTGCATAAATAATTGATATACGTATCATGAAAAAAGATGGATAAACAATTACACATATATGTATATGTTTCATAACTTTTCCTGAGTGAGTAGTAAATGGAAAAGTTATATTCCATAGATCTAACGGAATAATATTCGGCATTATTATAAACATATTTTGTAGATTTTGATACAAATCGCATCGCCATTAAACACATCATGTATTTACAATATTATATTACACAAACACAGGGAGAATGATTATCATAATCGTTAGTACTCGACGGTGATCGTTTTCGTTTTCAGATACTCATTAAGCGCCTCCTGACCCAAGTCCTTCCCGAATCCGGACATCTTGAAGCCGCCGAAGGGAGCCGCCACGTCCGTCTTGTTGTATGTGTTGATGAACACAGTGCCAGCCTCGATCTTTTCCGCGAACCTGAGCGCCCTGCTGATATCAGTGGTGAGGATACCAGAGGCCAGGCCGAACTCCGTGTTATTCGCCCGCGCGATCATCTCGTCGACGTTCTTCGAACTGAATTTGGAAATCACCATGATCGGTCCGAACGACTCTTCCTTGGCGATGTACATGTCGTCTTTGACATCCGTGAAGACGGTCGGCTCGAAGTACCAGCCAGGACGATTCAATCTCCTCCCACCGTAAACTAAAGTGGCACCTTCCTCGATTCCGATTTGCACAAATTGCAAGAGTTTGCCCAGATGGGCCTGGTGATTCTGCGGCCCGTGGCCTGTGCTTCTGTCTAACGGATTGCCGATGGAAATCTTCTTCACCTCTTCGACCACGCGTCTTACAAACTCGTCGTGGATGGTCTCTTCGACAAAGAGTCGCCCTGTAAGTAGTAATGAAAATCGTTTGAATTATTTTCTAGATAAAATTTATGTGATTATCTATAGTAAAGTTCAATGTTCAATATTTCGAAATAGAAAAATATGCGCTGTAATTTACCGGCGGCGATGCAGTTCTCGCCCTTATTGAAGAAGACGCTGCTCATAGCGATTCTGACCGCCTGCTGCATGTCAGTATCCTCGAAGATGACAAGAGGACTCTTGCCGCCGAGTTCCAACGACACTTTCTTTAGATTACTGTCGGCGCAGCATTTCATGATTGTCTGGCCGACCTGCGTAGAACCGGTGAAGCCCAGCTTCCTGACAAACGGATGCCCGACTATGGCATTTCCAACGGTAGTGCCGAAACCGCAAACGATATTGATGACACCCGGTGGTATTCCGGCGAGCGCGGACAGCTCGGCGAACTTTAGCGCGGTGAGCGGCGAGGCCTGGGCCGGTTTCATCACCACGGTATTACCGGCCGCCAGACAGGCCGCCATTTTCCATGAAAGCATCATCAGAGGATAATTCCATGGGGTGATGAGACCGCAAACACCGATCGGTTCGCGCCGTGTAAACGTGAGATTTCGATTCGGGCGCGCGTGCGAGATAGGTATGGTCAAACCATGGATCTTGTCGCACCATCCGGCAAAGTATCGCCACGTCTCAATCGACATGCCTACGTGAGTCTTCAAAGCGAGTGTGTAAACTGCACCGGAATCGATGGATTCCAGAGTAGCCAGTTCCTCCTTGTGCTGTTCCATCAAATTTGCTAATCTAAAAAACGAAGAACGAAGAGAGAAACATTAGAAAAGATTTTCATTGGAGATTGAAAGAAATCTTTGTCTTATTGATTGGAAAACAATATCTTTCTTAATCATACAGAATTAAATAAGTAAAAGTTTTAAGTATTCTTATCAGTTAGTTTCCATTCTTCAAAATTTCGCAAGGTTTTACTATTTTTATTGTATATCTATTTAATGTATTAAAAAAAAAAGATTTGATGATATATGATAATCACAT